CAGCTCAACTGATATCATTGTGGGAAAATTCTTCTTCTACCAGTCCTTCATCACCTTACACGAAATAGGGCGAATACATCTCATTTCACCGATAGTTGTCAGGGCTACTCACTGAGTAAATTGCAATATCGTCAACGGCAATGGCAAACGAAGGCTGCCAACAGGAAAATGTAATTGTGAAGAAAGTGGCTCCTGCTTTCTGGCTCACCGGACTCTGGTCGCTCATGCCCGAATCGCGTCAAGGCATGTCGAGAAGATGTTGATGAGGTCGAGCCTGCAGTTCGGCTGAGAGGAGGAGGCTTTTTGGAGGTGGAGCAAAGGCAAATTGAACTCCAATTTAATGAGACTTTTTGTGCATTTGCATAAACCTAATTGCCCCACCAGTCCTTAAGCCATGTTGAACCAACTCCATCCGCTCCTCATTCGCGGCTATTCTGCACGGAGACCGCACGGGTTGCCCTAGTTCCAGGAAAAAGTTGGTCTCTTTCCCTCCAGTTTTGGTCATTGTAGACTGAAAGCTTTTACTGACATTGGCTTCGAGGAGGCCCGCAAAGTTTGGCTTCAATCAAAGAAATGTCTGTGATTTTATAGCCCTCTTTTGCTTGTCCACAAAGTCAGCTGCCCTCGGCCAGTGAATGCTAAAATGACTGCAAGTTGGCTCTCCGGTCGTCAAAAAAAGGCTGTCCCCTTTTGTCCGGTTGACGTTGACAAATTTACTCTCGCCTCGTTTCAGTCTTGTTTCGACTTACTTTGACAAATTCTCAAATGTTGCCAGAAGAAAGTTGCCGACTGTTTGTAAGTGCTGACGGCGCTGTCCAGACGCAAGCACTTTGAAGTTTTGCCTCGGCTCGCCGGTCCGAGACAGACACACAAAAACATACACGCCGTCCAGCCGGAACTCACTTTTTGCAAGCTGCATCCCTCCTCGTCGTCAAGACGAATTAGAGTATCCTGAGACTTGCTGGATGTTGAGCAAGAATCACATTATCTGTCAATCTCGAGCTAGATGCTACTTGTGGCAGTTTGAGTAGTATCTATCAAAGAGTTACTCGGCTCGTAATATTGGCGTGAGACTATCGATAAAAATTAATCTCCAACTTAAATCAGTTTTGGTTTCCTAGCATGATGTAAAGATGGATAGTTGAAATATCCCACCATGCTGGCCTGTCGTTGAATGTCAATCGACCTTTTATAACAAAACATTTGTATTATTAAGGCTGGTGGCGACACTTCATAAACATTGTGCATGAATATGCAGGGCTAGCACAAAAACAGTGAAGCATACCGACATACACGAATGCAAATATGCGAGCATGTGAATGTGAAGGGAGACGGAAGTGTGAGACATCTTAGATGAAAATTAATACGATAGTCCCAAGATAAAAATACGAAAACGGATACGGACAGACAGAAATATGTCCACATACACCCACATTAATCCATCATTTCCTTAGGCTTCAAAGCTAGTCTTCACTCGGATAGCCACTTTTTCATACAAATATACACTCATGACTAACTCAATGGAGACATGCACAGGGAAAGACGATTTTCCTAATTAATCATTATTGGATCTAATACAAATCAAGCTGGATAAGGTAAAAAATAATTTTATTTTAATAAAAAATAAAATTGTTCAATTTTGGTTTAACTTGGTTTACTTAATTAGATTGTAGATTTGGTCTCATCAGCACCCAAAATGAGATTTGAAACCAAGTCGGTCATTCGCCTCAACTCTGTTATTTTGAGGGCAGTACTCATGCTCGCCTACAGTCCATTAATTACTCATTAATTAAATTAGACTTTTAAGAAATTTTCATGACCAGACGAAGTTAAACTTGATGGAAATCCGATTATGTGACCTCGTATTTAAGATGCACCAACAGCATATAAGAAATGAAGTCTATTACAATTGTAGAATAAAAGTTTACAATAAGACTAATTATTGAACTTAATCATGTTTCCTATGAATTTCACATAGCCTCGCTTCCAACAAGGTTTTATCATCAGTTTGCCAAGCAAGGCCATATGAAATTCTGTGGAATTGTGAGGGTTTTCATCTGATTGTGGTAAAAAATAACTAATACCTGGTCTGCATCACCAAAAACAAATTGTGCTGTGTATATGACCTTTTGGCAGATTCAAAACCGATTTATGCACTAAAATAGGAAAAAAATAAGTTTTACGTGAAATTCCATGTTTTATTCGAAGGCTGGACTGGAAAGGGAAACGAGTGAAAGGGCCTGCTTGTTTAGAAATTGGTTTTTCGAAAAGAAAATGTCTTGTCCAGCCTAATCTCCTTTCGCTTCAGCGGCCTTATTTGTTGGCAGAAGGCAGATGAGAATGAGGGTTAAGATAAGGATTTATATGATGAGGAAGTGTAGGCAGAGGAGGTGGATCGGAGTGAGCATGAGAGAAAGGAAGAAAATGACGATACTGATGATGATGCTGTTGCAAATTAGCTCCAGTCTGTGCTTGTTCCGCCGGATCGTCTGCTCATCGCCCTGTCGGGACACAAATTGCCCAACAGCCGTTTGACGCCAGACAAGCTTGGCTTTTCTGGCCGACTCACCAAGTCCCGGATGGTCGACGAACCGGTCTTTTGTCGTCAAGAGAGCGCAACGCAGTCTTGACAACGGAAGCATGCAGTTTGTTCAAAGACTTTGTTGTCTACCATACGCCCTCTTGACACGACTTGGACCTTGGGCGGGTCAGGGCATGCGAAATGGTCGTCTCAAATCG